GAGCGACAGAGCACGAGCAGGGAAGAGGCAGAGAGGGAGGGAGACACAGAATCCGAAGCAGGCCCCAGGCTCTAAATTGTTAGCACAGAGCCGGACATGAGGCTCGACGTCACAAACCATGAGATCATGACCTGAGCTGAAGTTGAACGGTCAACCGTTCAGGCACCCCATATTCTACCTTTATTTCTTTGTTGCTTCCCAGCTGTCCTTCATGGTGGGGGTGGAGGGTGGTACAAAGTCTCCACTTTAGGGGTATGGACACCAGGGTCCACACCTGAAGTCACATGGCCACTGGGTGGTAGTGATGTTTGGACCAGAACCCGGTCCCCTGGCTCTGGTGCCCCTGGTACCCAGAACCCGTGAGAAAGGAGATTCACTCATCCCATGCCATGGACCCTTCTGTCATCCCTCATTTTCCCCTCAAGAGCTGAACCCCCTCTGACAATACGTGGAGCCAGGAAAGGCGCCTGGTGTGCGGCGAGGCCAGCACGGTGCTGCCTCCACGGCCATCCAGCCTCCACTCCCACCAGGCAGGCTGGGGGCACCGCTCTGGCTTTCTCTCCTCTGAGGCGGAGAGGGTCTCCTGGGACGATGCGGCGATGCATGTTGCTGTGGCTCACATTCGTCACGATCAGTCCAGCACCCCCATCGCAGGCACTGGCTTCAGGAAAGACGCAGAATCCCGGAATAGACTGGCCAGTGCTCCCTGGCCGCTCTGTCTCGGCGGACTGGCCCCTTGGCTCCAGACTCCCCTCCGAACAATCTCACAATCTCACTTGTTCACTTTTCTCACTATTCTTGTTGGCAGATTTCGATGAGCCTGTCACACTGGCCTCTGATTTGCCTTGAACCCTGTCCAGACACACTTAGGAGATTGGGAATAGACCTGGGGGCGCCTGGGCGGCTCAGTCGGTCTCTCTGCTGTCAGCACGGAGCCTGCTGCAGATCCTCTGCTCCTCCCCCACTCACTCTCTCAAAAATAATAAATAAGAATAAATTTAGGAGCGCCTGGGTGGCTCAGTCAGTTAAGCGTCCGACTTCGGCTCGGGTCATGCTCTCGTGGTTCGTGAGTTTGAGCCCCACGTTGGGCTCTGTGCTGACAGCTCAGAGCCTGGAGCTTGCTTCGGATTCTGTGTCTTCCTCACTCTCTGCCCCTCCCCCACTCATGCTTTGTCTCTCTCAAAAATAAATAAGAAAAGTTTTTTAAAAAGTGTGGGCTTGGACGTCAGCGTAAGGAGATTCAAAATATAAAGGTGTAAAAAGGAGTAGAAGATGTTAGCAGTTAATTGACTCTGCAGCCCCTGGCCTTGCAGGGGAAACGACGTATCCTCACTGACACACAACCACAGAGCATTTGCCGTGGCCAAGACGCAGGCTAGGGACCAGTCACTGACTTCTGTGTGTCTGTTGGGGGCCTTCATTGTGGGGACCCACGACGGAGTTGAAACACAGCTCGTGCATGAGAAGGGTGACTGGTGGTCTCTCCCCACCCACACCCACACCAACACCCTCACTGGTCTTCTCTGTTGGTGAGGGAGCCTTCTGAAGGTCACATTTGCCCAGAGCCTTCCCTGGAGTCTGATGAAAGCCTCCAGCTGGGAAGCTTCTGGGCAGAGAGACGGGTGATGAGGACCCCCCTCCACGTCCACACTGCGTTCTCTTCTCCGTGACTAGAGATGGACACGAACATCTGTGCACATGATCATGTGCGGTGGCGACAGTGAGTGTCCACCGGGCCCACCCCGAGGAGCATCCGTCTTCTACCTTGATGCCGCATCTGCACAGCCCAGGGTTATGCCTCTAACCATGAGTCCCTCACGGATCCTCCTGGAGTCCCTCAGGCCGTCCAAGGAGAGGTACTGTCACGACCGTCAAGCAAGATGCAAAGGGGACCGTGGCCCACAGCTACAGCCGGCCCACCAGCCACTGAGCAATTAGATAAACGAAGCAAAGTGGGGTCTTGACCGCTGAGGGCTGGGGTGGGTCAAGGAAGTGCCAATCTCCCATCATCGGAATGTGTCCACTCAGACTGCGCCCTAGCTTTCTGCATCTCATTCCACCGGTACAGCCTTTGCGGCTGGAAGCAGGGATCGTCCCCTCTGCCCTGAGAGCCGGGAGAAGGCTGTGCATGTTCTCACCTGCAGGGACCCTCTCTGTACCCCAGAGCAGCAGGGACAGGAAGGGCTGAAGCAGGCACTGCCAGGAACCCACCAGCATCTGCCACAAAAATGAAGACGTCTGGCCAGAAGTCCGGGGGGGCCATCTTCATCACAAGAGGTATCGTCAAAGCGCTTTCATTACAGAGGGTTAAGCTGGAAGTCAAGTGCTAGAATGACAGAAGAACGGCACAAAGGAAGTCAAGCAGAAAGACCTAATTTCCTTCCTTTAAGGGGAGGAAAAAAATACTCATGTATTTAAATGAACGCAAAGGCAAGAATGAGGGTGGCCTTTCCCCACCCCCACCTGGAAGTCAGTGGGTCTTCATAGGACGGTGTATCTTTGGGCCAGACCAGCGGCCCGCACCGCCCGCCTGTCTGCAGAAAAGGACATGGAGGCTTGGAACTTCACTGCCACGCAGGAGCAGCCCCCAGGACAGCTGAGTCGCTAACGCAGCCCCTTCGCCACCACTTCTCCATGCAGGCCCTTGCCTGGCTTAGCTCCTAGTATGCGCAGCACCTCCAGGTACCCAGAAATTGCATGCGAAATTGCAGAATCGAAAAGCAGCGGGCCACGTGAGTCCACCCGTTGTGCCCGGCACTTGCATCCTCCTCGACTTGCAGCGATCAGAGGCCAGGCCAGGGCATTTGCTTACAGGAAGCCCAGGGGCCCCAGACATCTACCAAAAGTGGCCGTTTGGATATGCGCCTGTAGCACACCTGCTGTGTGACTGGGGCCCAGCTCTGCAGACAAGCGGAACCAAAGTCAGTGCGGAGGTGTTCACAGCGAGCGAGAGAATTGCCAGGGCGGAACGCAGGCCGATGGGGTGCTTGCTCGCATACGCGCAGCGCGGTGTGTTACTAACAGGAGCCTGCGAGGACCAGTGCGTGGTCCCTGGCGCAGTGTCCAGGGATCCCCGTGGCATCCCGTTTGTGATTCATGGGACAAGGAGTTCAAAACCTTATCATTAGCATTGTGATTACAGAAGGCTAGGATGTCACAGTTCGGGGGAAGGAGGGAGAAGGAGAGAACCAGGAATCGCACACCCTTGCTGTGCTGATTACTTGCAGGTCAATTACTTTCATTCTTCACACGGTCCCATGAGAGAGGCCACATTATCCCCATTACACAGATGAGAACACTGAGGCTCCGAGAGGCCAGACCACGTATGGGAGGCAACAGTTGTCATGATGAAAAAAGTATGCGCTTTGGCATCAGACAGCGGTGGGATCAGAGCCCAGCCTTACCATGAGCATTTTCAGGGATTTGGGCCAAGTTCTGGAACACCTGCTGTCTCATCTATAAAGTCTGGACAAGTGTACCCATGCATTGGCTTGTTGGACTAAATAATGCCCTTTGGGTAACAACACAGCCCTAGCACACAGTAGACCCCCAGGAAATGTCAGGAATTGCTATATGATGACCCCTCCCCCCATCCCCCATGCATTGGGAGAACCAGGATGTAAATCCTGAGAGGCCAGCCTCTTTCCAACCCTAGGTGCCTCCCACGGTGGCCCCGGGCCTCCAGATCCACACCTGAATGCTATTGGGAGGGATGGAAACCAGCACAGCCGGGGCACCGCTGGGGCAATGGACCAGGCCCACGCCCTTAGCCTTGCACATCGCAGGCTGCTTCCCATGTCCCAACGGTCAAGGAGAAGGTACACAGGAGGAGGGTGCCCTCGCTCCACTATGCGCAGTGCAGGTTATTACCCTCAGAGCATTTCCACTCATCTGAAATCTTTTCTTTAAAAACGTACGACCCCACTCTCCGAAGCCATGTGACTGACGTTTCATCAGCCCCACCAATGGATCTGATGAGGAAGATGAGGAAGACAGAGATGGGTTTCAAAAGAACCCTGTCCAGAGCGGCAGAATTTGCCACATGGTATTACAAAGGCCATCTGTCTGCCACTCTGTATCAGCAGCCTTTGCATCCCCGATGCCTAGCCTAGTGCCTGGCATATAGCAGGGGCTCCTTGCCACCTCTGGACTGAACTCACAACACAGTAACAGAGGCTGGTAAGGGAGCACTCACCCTCTCGGTCCCCAGGACTTGAGCCTCCAGAGGTGTGTGTGGCTTCCCCTTGACTTCTGCTCACCTTAGGGCTCTGAGGCGAAGGCAGTTTATTTTCACGAGTGCTCTACTGGGCCGTGGGAGTAGAGTGGGCTGGTGGTCGTGTCTGGGCCGTGGTCAGTTATGCAGGGGAGGTGGGTTAAAGGGACCCGCTCCTGGTTCCCACCAAGAGGCGCTTTTCATTCTACACAGTCGTTTAATGGGATCCCAAATAACATGTTTCAAACAAATCTTATCACCATTGCTCCTTGGAACACATTTCAAATGCCGGCCATTAAAAACAGGCCATTTCACAAGCCTTTAATGATGACACTAATAACTGTGGGTTTTTGTCTCCATGGGTCCTGATGAGCAGAGGCGAGGAGTAAATTACGGAGCTAACTTTTATGTCCGTGGCTTATTGATCGGTGAGGAGTTCTCTTCAAGGGAATTATGCCAACCCCCAAACCTCGGCCATCCAGATTCCCTTTCCGTCTATGTGACCGCCCACTAATGTACAGTTAGTTTTCGATTTATATTAATAAGAAGACAACACGATGTGCCATTTCTGTAAGACGGTAATGGACATACCAAAACATCCCACCTGGTAGTTATAAATAGATCAGTTTTCCCATAATCCACTGAAGGTCACAATCCGTGGCATCATGAGCAGGTTCCCTGCTGTGGTGCTGGCATACGCGTGCATCCCCAGACTGCATAAAGGGTGTCACACCATAGTGTATCCAACGGTATCATGCATGTCGTTTCCTGCCTTTATTTCTTGCAGGTGAAAGTCATGCTTCGCATCTGTTCCACATTGGCTCGTGACACCTCTGAGTCCAGCTCTTTCCTGAAGGTGGACCCTCGGAAGAAGCAGATCACCCTGTATGACCCCCTGACGTGTGGAGGTCAAAATGTCTTCCAAAAGAGAGGCAACCAAGTTCCCCCTAAGATGTTTGCCTTCGATGCCGTGTTTCCGCAAGATGCTTCTCAGGTGGGTGTGACCCCTTCTGCCCACTCCAGGCTCAGGCAGTGTTGAAGCTTTCCCCATCCACCAGGACCTGTGAGCTGGGAGGGTATCTTCCAGAGTATTCTGACGCATCAGTTCTTCCAGCCATACAACTCTTGGAAACCCATTGTAGCATCATTGGATAGTTCGGTCCCATTGAATGATCGGTGTCAGACCTTGGGCAGGATCACTGTGCCAGGATTTCAACAAAACACTCGTGGAGAGAAGGAGGGGGAAGGACGAGGGAGCCAGTCGGCAGATGGCTTACAGAAGCAGGGAGTAGAGGCAGAAGTGGAAATTTTAGGAGAGACTTTGTCAAGGTGGTGGTGCCTGTGGTCCCCTAAGAACGCCATGCCTGTCTGGGCTCCTGGGTGCGCCAAGGAGCTGGGTTTGAATCAGGCGCAGTTCTAGGGCCCTAAGTGGGGCAAGTCCTAGTGAGGAACTGCTGCAATGGGCAGGGAAACGGAGGCTCACGTGCAGTCCTGAATCGGTGAAGCCGAGTAGAAGGGAAGAAGAGAGGCTAGCTGTCGTATCAGTAAGCTGGTACCACATAACAAACCACCCTAAGATTCAGTGGCTTAGAACAATAGGCATTTATTATTCCTTATTAATCTGTGGTCTGGCTGAGTGTTCTTCCATTTCTCGTGTCTTTATCCCAAGTCTGGGGGCTGCCTGGCTTTAGGCTGATCTGGAATCCGCATTGTTTCTCATCAGCCAGGAGGCTCTCTGGGGCTTGCACTCACGATGGTGGCGTGATCCAGGTACACACACCTCAAAATCGACATGACATCACTTCTGCTGCTTTCTTTTGGCTCAGATTTGAGGGTTGGGAAGAGACCTCACCTCTTGAATGGTGGGACTGAAAAGTCACAGTGCAAGGGGAGCACACGCACGTGTGCGTGCACACACACACATAAGCACACACACACACGGGGAATGTGGAGTGTTATGGCCATCCTGGTCCGAGTAGAATTTGGAAGCTCCTTGGGGGCCTAGAGTGCCAAGATTCCTGGACCTGAGCTCCTGGAGCCAATCCCAGTAAGAACAGATGTCCACTGGAAGATTCCGTCGCACCATCTGGTGCAATTCATCTGCAGTGAATTGGCGCAGCTGAATCTTCCAGTAGGCGCATAACCCAGGTTATAGGTGTTTGGTGACCTGCTTTGCCCGGGTTTTGGCATCAGACAGCTGCATCTTCCAGATGTGTTTCCGGCAGTCACTCCCCAAGATTTATATGAGACAGAGTGCCTCCAGGTGGCTGATGCCTGCAGCAGAGCCTGGAGACAAGGATGCTCATAGCTCCCGTTCGTTTCCTCCACGCTGCACCCAAGTGTAGAAAAGGGATCCTCACATGGGCTTTGGAATCATACCACGGACACCCAACATGTGTTCTCAGCTCCATTCGTTAACGAGCTAGAGGGGTGGTTTCCCCAAAGAGTTTTACCAGGAAAAGACAAAATACAAAAAAGTTTGATAGTTTCCCTTTTGATTATGTATGTGTGTGTGTGTGTGTGTGTGTGTGTGTGTGCGCGCGTGCGCGCACGCGCTCAGTAGTCCCAATGGACACACTAATCTAAACCTGACATCGTGTCTAATAAAGGGCCTTTCTCGTACTGTAATTAACACAGTTAAAACTTTTCTAAAGTGATTCTCCCCAACTTGCAAGAATCCCGAAGCAGACCCTAAGTTAAGCGTGGGCTGTTAATGAGTTTTAGATTTATTCCAGAAAAAGAGCCGTTTTTATTGCTCACATTTGCTTACATTTCACACCGGGCTCCAGAGCTCACGTGCTCCACACAACAAGTCACGTGCTTCTGGATGCTTCCCTTTTGTTAAAATCCGCAATCTTCTCTTGCATTGTGTTTCTCTGCTCAATTTGTGGTTTTCAGGAAGTTTCATACCTGTTAACCCACTTGACTCTTCCTAGACTTCTGTGCTGCAAAAGAGGGATGCATTGCTATGATCACATGCTGCATGAGGAAACTGAGGCTCACAGATGCGGCGTCTCGTTTGTAGTCCTTTCCTGAGCAGACCTCTCTCCTGAACCCCCCTCCTTACTCTCTCTGCCCTGCTCCGTGTGGTCCTGCATCTTTGACCTCCCGCCATTTTACTCACTGTTTACTGGCAGTGTGTCCCTGGGTGGGTCGCCACACCTCTCTGGGCCCCAGCATCCTCATCTGTAAGCTGCAGACAGACCCCCAATGTACCGTTGTGGTTCATTGAGCCCGGAATACACGAGATGGTCGGGACAGAGCTAGAGCGTGCTGAGTATCCGATGAACGTAGCTCTTTTCCTGTTATGTTGTCATCGTGACAGTCATGGTCGGCCTCAGCGCCCGGGGGGTGGGCACCCTTTGAGCCACCGAGGCAGGAAAGCAGTAGAGTGGACGCGGGGCCTCTGCTCTCAGAGGCACCAGGGAGGCTCCGGGTGGTTATGAATTTGGCTTTCCCTCCGTCTCTCAGGACATCAGCAAGGCAATGATTGGAATAGTCCTTGCTCCCCGCCGCCCTGGCGGACCCTCCTTAGCCCCCTGGTGGCCTCGGCAGTCATCAGCTGCCCCCTCCGGGGCAGACCTCCGCTGGGTCGGCTGTGGGAATGTGTCGTAGCCAATCAGCACAGACCAGGGGGCTTATAAACTACAGAAATTTCTTTCGCGTAGTTTTGGAGGCTGGAAGTCCAAGACCAAGGTGCTGCAGATCTTGTGTCTGGCCAGAGTCCCTTCCGGGTTCACAGCTGTCCTCCCGCTGAAGGGAGTGAGGAAGCCCTCTGGGGCCTCTCTCCCTAGAGTCGGCTTCACCCTCACGACCTGTCACCCCCACCCCCACAAAAGCTTATTTCCAAAAACCATCACATTGGATGTTAGGTTTCTTTCTTTTTTTTTTTTTTTTTTAATGTTTACTTATTTACTTTGAAAGAGAGCAAGCACAAGCAGGGGAGGTGCAGAGAGAGAGAAAGAGAGAGAGAGAGAGAGAATCCCGACGTGGGGCTTGAACTCATTTAACCATGAGATCATGCCCTGAGCTGGAATCGAGAGTTGGACACTTAACTGACTGAGCCCCCCAGGTGTCCCTGGACATTAGGCTTCAACATGGCAATTCTGGGGGGGACACATTCAGTCCCTCGCAGGAAGGGCCGTGAGGAGGACTCCAGCATGTGGGTGAGCAAGGGCTTCCGGCCGCCCGTGTCTGTGCTGGGGAAGCTGTCTGCCTCTCTGCACGCCCCCTCAAATAAATAAATAAACATTAAAAAAATATTTTACTGCCTCAGTCTTGGGGCTTCAAGCCCGCCTCTTGCTGCCTAGGTCCTGGGGTATGACAGATCCTGTGGCCCCCACAGCAGCCTTGTCCTGTGACCCCCTCCCCCTCAGTCTAAGAGGAGCCCTCCCCACTCACCCCCCGCATGGAATTGTTGAGGCACCACCAGCACAGACAGCGGGGTGGGGGTGGAGTGTGGTGTTCGGGTTTGGGAGAGAAAATTGATCTCCTTTTTTTAAAAAATTTTTTAATGTTTTATTTATTTCTGAGTGAGAGAGAAAGACAGTGTGAGCAGGGGAGGGTCAGAAAGAGAGGGAGACACAGAATCCAAAACAGGCTCCAGGCTCTGAGCTAGCTGTCAGCACAGAGCCCGACGCGGGGCTCGAACTCACGAACCGTGAGATCATGACCTGAGCCGAAGTTGGAGGCTTAACCGACTGAGCCCCCCAGGTGCCCTGAGAAGATTGATTTCCAAATATTCAGGTCCTCTCTCCTCCTGCAGCCTGGGGCTGAATATCTGTGTTCCTGGCGAGGCCAAAGCCCTGGGAGGCCCACTGCCCTCCCCCCGCAGAGCCCGGATGCTTCCCGCCTCTGAGTGCTTCCCTGAGTTGAGACTCTGGCAGGAAGGGGACAGCGCACAGTGTGCTGTTTGTCCTTCTGGAAGCATCAGCTGCTCCCCAGAGAGTTCCCAGATCTCCCAGTCAGGCCGCAGAATGTCCTGAGTTCTCGTTGTTTGTGGAGCGGTAGGTTGTTGGGTGCTTGTGGGGGAAGTACAGAAAGTTCTCAGAAGCCTGGCCCCCGAGGACTTGATAGCATCCGTTATAACACGCTGACGAGGGGCCTTTGGTATTGTGCGTTGTATCTGCACACAGAGAACGAACGGGCTGGTTTTGAAGACAAGGGGCTGTGGATCGAGGTGGGGAGAGCACGTAGATGCAGGTCACCAAGCTCTCGCTTCTGTTAGCAACAGTTTCCCAAGGCCATTTTCTTGAAATGACACATCATCTCTTTTGCACTGATAAGCTTGGTCCGTTTCATGTGCTGTGTGCACGTGTGTGTGCATGTGTGACGCAGGATCCAGTTAGCAAAGGGCCGGTGGGAAGTTTAAACGTCCAGCAGGCTGGAAGGGCAGAGCAGGGAAGGGCATGAGTTCCGTGGAAGCGCCCTGTGCTCCCATCCCAGCGTGTTTCTGCCTGGCTACAGAGGCAGCCGCTGAAACGGACCGCCAGTCAGCAGAAAGCTGGTTTGCAAGGACGATGCAATGCTCGGGCTTGCACGAGGCAGAGGAACCAGACGGTTTTGAGTGCCCCAGAACCCCTTTTACGGCCTGACCCACCTTCAGTGTCCTGGCCTTGGGACTGCCCCCCCCCCCCCCCACGGCAGCAGGCTCCCCTTTCTGTCGCTGATGGTGCCCTCACTGCACGTGTCTCTTGTGTCCGCCAGGCTGAGGTATGCGCCGGAACCGTGGCAGAGGTGATCCAGTCTGTGGTCAACGGTGCGGACGGCTGCGTGTTCTGCTTCGGCCACGCCAAGCTGGGTGAGTGAGAGCTTTCCTTGTTTCTGCCCTTTGTATTCCCAGCCACACGGTCTGTTCGTCTGTCCGGGTGCCTGGGGTCTGCGTCTGCAGATGAAGGGAAGGTGTGGCCTTTCAGTGCTGCCTGGAGTCACCAGTCGCCGGTGGTGCTGCTGAAAGACACTGTCCGTCTGAAGCGGACACCCAGCACCTGGGAAGGGGGTGGTGGGGTCCTTCCCACTTGGCCCAGGTCGGGGCCATGCCCAGAAAGCCAGCAGGAGGAGGGACCCGCACGGAGCAGGGGCTCTTGGGTTCAGGGCGGTGGATGGAGCCCTCCAGGCAAAGCCCGGAACCATGTCAGGACCTGTCTGGGGAGCGACCTTGACTCCCAGCCTCCGACCTTTGCCGGAGCAAGAAAGGAGAAGCAGGGTCAAGGGGGTCAGGGGAGCACCCAGACGGGGGTGCGGAGGGTTGGACTCCCTTAGGGTGTCTTCTCACTCCTGGCCTGTGGCCTTCCGCTCAGCAGGCCTCACTTCCCATGCTGGGCAAGTTGGTGATTTGGGGAGCTCCCAAAGCGCCCCTGTGCAGGGAGCGAGGCCCGCCGTAGGCCCGGACAGAAAGCTCATGTCAGCCCCCTTCTGTCTTCTTCATCTCTGATCAAAGCAGCAATCCAGATCTTAATAGACTTTGCTTGCGCTATAAAAATAGATGCAGCCTTTAACTTGAGGAAGGATATAAAGCGTAAGTACGAGCGTGCCATCTGCGGGTGGTGATAAAAAGGGCCGCGCTGGCGATGAAAGATGTCTGCCTGCCCACCGCCTGTAAAACAGGGCAGCCATCGGACGGCGTGGGAAGTTTCGGTCCCTGGGGCGAGTCGTGACTTAATCCTGTCTGGGCGCTTACATTCTTTAGTTCGGCCATTTAGTCTGTAGCCCCAGGAAAGGCTTACCGCCCCTTCGCCTCTTCCTCCCCTTTCTCCCCTTCCCTGTGGGAGGGGGACACTCAGACCGTTTTCCTTACCCCCCAGGCAAATCCTACACCATGATCGGAAAGGACGACTCCATGCAGAACCTGGGCATCATCCCCTGTGCCATCTCCTGGCTCTTCAAGCTGATAAACGAGCGCAAGGAGAAGACGGGGGCGCGCTTCTCCGTGCGCATCTCCGCCGTGGAAGTGTGGGGCAAGGAGGAGAACCTGAAAGACTTGCTGTCCGACGTGGCCACGGGCAGCCTGCAGGACGGCCAGTCCCCGGGCGTGTACCTGTGCGAGGACCCCATCTGCGGCACGCAGGTGACTGGCTGTGGAGCTCGGGCGGGGCGGGCGGGGAGCCAAGGTGGCTCCTCGCTGGGGAGATTCAACCCCGGGACTCGCCTCACATGCCACCGGGGAAGGCTTGTGAGTGTTTACTTGGAGGTGGACGGGAACTTTACGGCCTGCCCAGGGCCATCTGCCCCTAACCTAAATATTTGTACCTCGGATCTCACTGACAATGAGCAGGAGCCGCAATTGTTGTTGGAACCCGTTGGGCGGCGGGGAATGGAATTCACTTTCTTTACGCCCCTCTCAAGAAAAAAAAAGAAAAAGAAAAAAGAAAAGTACAGTCTTTCTTTTGTTTAACGACAAGCCGAAATATTTACTGCTCGGCACAAATAGCTCCAGCCATTACTGGCGCTGTTTACAGCTCTATAAATGGTGTTTCTGGTACTGGTTTATGGCCGGATGAGTGGTACCGTAGGAAACGCTCATAACCGCTTTCTAATTAGAGCCATGAAATAATTGCTGGAGCTGGGGAAGCCCAGGGAAGCTCCAGCCCACCTTCGCAGGAGGGGGTGTGTGTTCTGTGCGTCTCTCCCTCGCTGGCTGACGGCAGGTGGAGCGAGTCTGGAGCTCCCTGGTTCCTATCGAGAAGAATCCACCCTTCCGGTCTCCTGCTGGCTATATTTCCTGATTTTTTCTGATAGGTGTTCATTTTGAGGAGCACCTGCCTTGTCCCAGGTGGGGCTGTTTTCTCGGGTGAGGACACCCCCATCACACCCATCTGTGATGGCCGTGTCCTTCCCCGGCTCAAAGCCCCTCAGATCCTTCCATTTCCGTTATGAACTCTCCATTGCAAACCTCCTCATGATGTGCAAGGTCCTACATGACCAGCCCCCTGCCCACCTTTCCAGCACCATCTTTTGCCACTCCTCTTTATTTTTTTAAATTTTTAAAGTGTTTTATTATTTATTTTTGAGAGAGAGAGATGAGTGCCAGCAGGGAAGGGGAGAGAGAGGGGGAGACACAGAATCGGAAGCAGCTCCAGGCTCTGAGCTGTCAGCACAGAGCCCGACGCGGGGCTCGAACTCACAAACCGTGAGATCATCACCTGAGCTGAAGTTGACGCTTAACCGACTGAGTCACCTAGACGCTCCTCTTACCACTCCTCTTAAGTTACATGTAGGTCCCTAAAAAAGCAGAACCCCTCAGAATTCACTGTGCATATGAATCACGGGAGATCTTGTGAAAATGCAGGTTCTGGGTGAGTCTGTCTGGGGTGGGGCCCCTGTGTATGAGTTGGTGACGAGCTTCCCGGTGATACAGCACACTTTGAGTTGCAAGGCACTCAGCCGCCAGCCATCCTCCCTCTTACTCCACACATCTGCCCCTCCCGCTCTTCATCTGGCAAAGTCCCTGTCCTTCAGTAGCAGCCGGATGCCACTTCTTCCAGGAAGCCCTCCTACATGTTTCTCCTCGGTCAGTTGTGAGCCTGGTTGGTTCTCTAACAAACCGTGGGTGCCACGTCCGACTAAGATCGGCTGTTGGTAGTTTTAACAGATGCATCAGATACCCCTTGGGGGTGGAATCTAGTCAGAATCCAAACCAATTGGTCATGCAAAGCTTCATCCAGCAGTCCTCAAACTGTCGTCTTCCTCAGTCACCTGGGGAACTTGGTAAGCACGGCTCACCTGGCTTCACCTCTAGAATTTCTTATTCAGTAGGCTTGAGATAGGTCCCCAGACCGTGCATTTTGAACAAGTTCCCATGTGATGTCAATGCTGCTGGTCTGGGGACCACACTTTGAGACCCATCACTTCTGAAGCATCACAGCACCTGTGGGAGAAATCAGTGTCACCTCGCCCGCTCTTCCCTCTCCAAGAACCACCTGGATGTTCAAATATGCTGTAGCCTCTATTCATCTTTGTAACTCTACTGATGAGGCCCCACTTGGGCGAAGGACCTGGTTAACTGAAGGCTAAGTAGAGATCAGCATCCTCTTTATTTTAACTCTTCTTGTTGAAAAATGGTAAAAAAAAAAAAAAAACCCAAAAAAATTCCTTTACCTTTTTTCCTGCCATAGTAATTCACAACCATGAACACAAATACAACAGAGTCTCTCTTTGAAATTGGAGGCTTTTGAAGGTCCAGATTCCAAAAATTAGATTTTTCAGAACTATAAGTGCAATCAGAGTCAGAGTAAGAAAGTGTCAGAATGTGTACCAACCCCAAGGCACATACCACAAACCATTTCTTTGAGTAAACCAGATGTTTCCTTTTCTCCCTGCCCCCCAAAAAAGGGTGTTAGTCAAGTTATGATAATATCATCCTGACTAAGGTTGACTCTGATTTCCAAGGACTCTCATAGGATTTGGACACATGGCCCACCCTGCTTTCTTAGTTAATAAGTACCATGACTGTGAATTTGGGGATTAAAGATAAATTAAACAGTAGAGATGAGACAGTCAAGTACGTTGGGTGTTTTCATGCGTCTTTTACACATCTCGTTTAAGATGATGCCAGTGTGGGACGCCTGGGGGGCTCAGTCGGTTGAGGATCCAACTCTCAGTTTCGGCTCAGGTCACGATCTCAGGGTTTTGTGAGTTCGAGCCCCATGTTGGGCTCTGTGCTGACAGTGCAGAGCCTGCTTGGTATTCTTTCTCTCTCTCCCTCTCTCTGTCTTCCCTTCCCCCCTTGGCACTGTTTCTGTCTCTCTCAAAATAAATATACTTCCAAAAAATCCAGAACTGTAGTCCGTGTAGGCTAAAATGGGCTTTAAAGAGCTGGAGAGGTTGGGAGTGGGGTTAAAGCTAACCAACTCCCATGCTGTCTGCACTGAAATCTGGTTTCGCAATCCACCCATCTCCAAACATTCTAATCTCTGAGAGCAGGAGGGTGTCACGTCCCCCATGTCCTTTTAGGTAGATGGGTCACTGAGGACGGGGGTTTGCTGTCCTCTGCAGAGATGGGGCTGGGCTCCCTGCCCCCCCCCCACCCCACCACCATTTGGATACAGCCATTTGCCCATCACACCTGCTATTACTTAAACTGTGAAACGATATTCCGTGCTGCACATGTGCTCATTCTGAACTTCCAGAAATGGGTTGACTGAGATTTGCGGAGGAGCACAGGCCGTTGTTCTGGAAGGTTCTACAGAACAGAGAACCGGGTGTGAGGGGCATGCTGGCCCTCCACAGGCTGAGGCCTTAGCTCTAGGCTTGTGTCTTCCAGCTGCAGAACCAGAGCGAGCTGCGGGCGCCCACGGCGGAGAAGGCCGCCTTCTTCCTGGACGCCGCCATCGCCTCGCGCCGCGGCAGCCAGCAGGACTGTGACGAGGAAGGCCACCGGAACTCGCACATGCTCTTCACCCTGCACATCTACCAGTACCGCATGGAGAAGAGCGGGAAAGGGGGAAGTAAGTGGGCCCGTCTCCGCCCGCCGGGAGACCCGCCATCGAGGGCCACCGTGACCCTTTATGTTTTAGTTAATTTTTTTAACGTTTATTTATTTTTGAGAGAAAGAGACAGAGCATGAGCAGGGGAGGGACAGAGAGAGAGGGAGGCACAGAATCCGAAACAGGCTCTAGGCTCTGAGCTGTCAGCAAAGAGCCCGACCCAGGGCTCAAACTCACAAGCCAGATGCTTAATGGACTGAGCCACCCAGGCGCCCCTCATTTTTTTTAAAGTAGGCTGCATGCCCACTGTGGGGCTCGAAATCACTCCCCTGAGATTGAGCGTCGTGTGCTCCACCTACTAAACCAGCCAGACACCCCTGACCCTTTTATTTTTAAACGGGGTACGATTTCACCGGTATCCGGTTTGCGCTTCTGGAGCTCCAGACAAGTATCGAGTCTGGGCTGCAGGTCACTGTTGAGCCGTCCAAGGGAGAAAGGTTCGCTCTGGCGAAGGTCATTTACAAATGTAACTACTGCCGGGGGAAGGTGAGTGAGGACAAACTGGAAGCCGGAAAACAACCATTTCATAGTACCCTTTTGTTCACAACCTTTGCAGGTGATCCTCATGAAAGACTAATATTTACGCACCAGGCACCCTGATGATATGTTATTAATATCATATTAATATTGAGTCCCCTATATGGACCAGGAAGGAACAAAGTGATGTTTTTAAAATAATCTAGAAATCAGACTCTTTTAGAATTAAACAGATGCCGGCTGCCTCCATCCCTCGGGTGATGCTGGTCACTGGGAGGAGCCCGGTCCCCTCGGGGCCACGTACTTGAAGTCGGCACTGACCTCGGCACAGTGGTCTTCCCTTTGCCTGCTGGGTCGCGCTCGCTCCACACACTGGGGAGTATCTCAGAGGGGCTCTTGGACCGAGGGCCACGTGCTTTCAAGGCACCTGGCACCCCAGTGCCCTCTGAATGATTGCCCCAAGGACCCTGGGACAATCCCAGGAAAGCTAACAAGAGCCCTGAGTAGGAGGTGAACCTCCGTGCGTGGAAACTGTGAGGCGAATCGACTAACACAGAGACCGTCCACAAACCTAATTCTTGGTGGAGCCTGGGGCTCAGGCATCCAGCTGGGATCTGGGGAAGGGCTTCCCAATTCTCCGCAAGTCCTGTTGCCCAAGGCGTGGAAACCAGTAGCCTGGAGCTGGTCTTGGGGCTTCTCTCACCCCCAACAGAAGCTCTTTCCTTCCCTAATCTCCACGTTCCTGCTGGCTCGGTCTCCTGCCCTCTTTCCTCCTCCTTAATCGTTAACTTTTTAAATGTTTACTTATTTGTTTTGAGAGATATAGGGGACATGTGCGTGCGCACGTGAGGGGGGAAGGGGCAGAGAGAGAGAGAGAGGGAGAGAGAGAATCCCAGGCAGGCTCCGTGCTGTCAGCGCAGAGCCCGACACAGGGCTCGATCCTACGAACAATGAGATCATAACCTGAGCTGAAATCAAGAGTCGGACGCGTAGCCGACCGAGCCACCCAGGCGCCCCCGACTATTGTTATTTTCCTTCAGGTTTAATGAAGTCTGATTTACATTAGGTAAAGGTTGCCCCCTCTTGTGAGTTACTAGAGGCGTTTTGGCAAATCAGTACGGTTGTGTAAGCACCGACCGTCTCTTTTTGCCCTTTCTGGACAGTCCTCTCACCCCCACCTCTCGCCTCTGACACCCACTGACCTGATGTTTGTCCTTTCACTGTTGCCTTTAGCCAGACATTGCATGAATGGAATCACATGGTCCCCATGCGGCTTTGCGTATCCAGCTTCTCCGATTTAGCATAATGTATCTGAGGCTTCTCCATGGAGCTGTGTGTATCAGTTGCTTGCTTATTTTTCTCGCTGCCCTCGCCTTTACTTTCGGCTGAGCCTGGACACTTGCCACTGCCCCTCCTCCTGCCCCCTGGCCTGAGATCTCACCGTACACCCTGTCCTGGGGCTGAGGGTCCACACGGCAGGAAGGCTCAGGTGGTCAGCCCTGGCTGCTCGCTGCGCTGGCTGCTGCCTGGGGGTCTGGAGACACTGGCGTCACTTGCTGGGCACTGGGTGCCCCTGGAGATGGACCAGCCGCAGCCCCAGTGTCTCCTGGGAAACCGGCCAGGGTCGTGAGGGGGTGGGGATGAGGTGATGAGCAAAATTGTTCGAATGGGAAATCTTCAGGGGAGATTGATTCTCAGTGAAGGGCACATGCCATGTCCAGCACTTCCTTTTAGGAAAGCTTTCTCAAAGAAGGAAACAAGGGATCAGGAGAGGGATGAGAAGATCCAGACCTTTAAAATTCATAACAGAAGTGTATCCGCCTAACGGTCTGGGGGCCGGCTTTAAATCCTGCCCTCGCTGTTTTCTCTAGATTGTGTCTGAGCAGTATGAAATCTGAGAAATGCCTTATTCTTTAAGGCTTTTTTTTTTACGTTGTATTTAAGCTTTATTTCTTTTAAGCTGTTTTATTCTTTTAAGTCAATAGTAACGGAAATAATCAGAGCCTGTCAGCCGAGAGCGACTCGCCACAGAGCCGAATTCTCAGCCAAATTGCTTCCAAATGGTACTGAGCGGGGTCTCGGGAGATGGGGTAATCTCCTCCTTCGAGGTTTTGAAACCAAGCTGAAAACATGGGGTTTTAGTTCACTCGTGTGTGTGTGGGTGTGGGTGGGGGTGTGGGTATGTGTGCGTGTGTGTGTCTGCAGCTCTGCCCTCAATTTAGAACCTGAAAGTAGGGAAGAATCTTGAAAATAAACCGTTAATTAAATTGCTTCAACTGTAAGAACTTAAAATTCAGCCTCACAGGAGCATGGGCTGGGACACCCCCTCAACCCCTCGAGGCTCCAGTGCTCTGCGTGTCCTGGGCACTTTCAGGATATTTAACATCCCCTTCATCTTTCTGTTTATACCTTGTGAAGGCAGATCGCTCTTAAATAATACATTCAGGGTAAAGGAAAAGGCGAGTGCCATTAACAGCTCCGCAGACTTCCTGTAGGGACTTTTTAATGTATCTGCAGGTGAGAAGGGGAGAGGGTCCATGGGGCACCACCTACCTGCTGTGGCACCGGGCTTCCTGGGGGGGCGAGGGGGGGGAGAAGCAGAGGAATCCAGGCCCGAATGGGCCAGCCTCTAGCCCGCGGCACACTTGACTTCTGTGAATTTGTATCTGTTTAAGATATAATGAGATTGGAGTGTTGTTTAAAATGGGAAGTTTTGTTTACTTAGTACAGATAAGTAATAATCCCTGTGGCCCTGGCAGCCAGAACTCAATTAAAGGAAGGTTCGTTAATTAGTTACCCTGCAGGGAGGCAAAGAGCAGAGTGTGTGGCTGTTCACTGGCCATTAGAGGCTCAGACGCTGCATTCAGAGAGGTGTCTGCCGTAGGAACTAGACGTGCCGTGTGCATACATGCACCTGAGTCTTACACATATGGATTTTATACATACATGTGTGTACATATGCATGCACACATAAGTACACATAAGTAAATGGACAAAAAAAAATTTTAACATTTATTTTAGAGAGAGAGAGAGAGACAGAGTGCGAGCAGAGGAGAGGCAGAGAGAGAGGCAGACACAGAATCCGAAGCAGCTCCAGGCTCTCAGCTGTCAGCACAGAGCCCGATGTGAGGCTTGAACTCACGAACCATGAGATCATGACCTGAGCCAAATGTCAAGCGCTTGACCTACTGAGCCACCCAGGTGCCCCTGGACAAAAATGTTTTAAATGTGTCCAGTCATGATAGAAAATTCTACATTGATCTATTACTGTTTTGCACACATCATTAGGTTAAGCTTAAATATTTCCCTGTTTCATTTTTTTTAATGAATTTATTTGAGAGAGAGACAGTGCACATGAGCGGGGGAGGGGCAGAGGGAGAGGGAAGAGAGAGAGGATCCCAAGCAGAACCCACACTGTCAGCGCCAGAGCCCGATGCGGGGCTCCAGCTCACAAACTTTGACGTCCTGACCTGAGCTCGAACCAAGAGGTGGAGGCTTAACCCACTGAGCCAGCCAGGCGGCCCACATATTTCCCTATCTGAAAGGCTTTGGGAAGCCTCATGGGGCTGATTCTCCACCTAGCCTAGAGCCTTCCCCTGCTTTGCTAAGCTAATCTGTAAAGGCTGAGAAAGCTCCGTGGGAATTCCAGGATCGGGGAAGAGACCCTAAGGCCCTAATGATCAAGAGCCGTTGCCCCTGAAGATGGGTCTATAAGGAGTCCGTCCACTCTGGGTTTAACTCAAACGGAACGTGTGCTGTATTTTCGAAAAACTCAGCGCGTGTCTCTGTTCCCTAGCTTAGCTGTGTTTCTGGAAGAGAAGGACCACCCTGTTATCTTTCACACAAGCCGACAGCGTGAGTTCAGAGAAGCTGCTCACGCTTCTCTGAACACAGTCCCGTGATGGTCAGTTGGGAAATTCAAGAAGGACAATCCTGTAAAATGACACGTTCACGTCCTGAACATTTTCTTTCAACTTAAAACGTACAACTGTGTATTTATTCGTTGATCTTCTGATAACAGGGCCGTGGCTTTCTCTTCGAGATGAGGTCTCAGCTTAAATAAAGTTCTGGCTTTTAGAAAGCATGCCCATATTAATGGCCTGGTTTTTGCGTTAAGTGTCTTCTGAGCGAGCCAAGAACTTAGAAGATACTTGTGGAGACTGCGGTTTTAGACCTTTTGTAGATTAAGTTTTCTCCCACTCTGTAATTTCTCATTTCCACCTAATTTGGTGTCTCTTTAAAAAAAACAAAACAAAACAACCCAACTCATTTTGATCACATCCTTCCAAAGCATGGAGTTCAGTTTTTGAGGAAACATTAGCTCCGTTATTGGTTTGCATAAGATTTGAGTCTATTTTTATCTATAATAACAAGTGGCATAATTAGGTCCAGGAAGGAGCCCAGCTGCCCTGTTAAGGATACAGCTCATTTGCGGGCAGCAAAAGAGCACAGACCAATGAGAAAACAGCCAGCAGTGGCCCACA